GCAATCATAAGGCGTCAGATGATGAAAACAAAATACGCACTGTCATGGCAAAAAACATCTGGAGGCGTCTATAGGATCAGTTGCATTTGCAGACAAAGCGACTTTATCGGAGAAACCAAAAGACTTCTCAAGATGCCAATCACCGAACACGCGGTGGCAGTGCGAAGTGACGCCAATACTCAATTTGCGGCCCTTTCGACGAGACCCTGTAACACATTCAAATTTGATGAGGCCGAAAATCTCGCGATAAGCGACAATCATCTGAGTCGCGAGCCATGGTCCACGGGCCCCCGGTCTATGAGCAAGTGCAACTACCTTCCCAATCTATATTCGCTGCAGGGACCCAATTTAGCCAAAGTAAATCGCCACTGGGGGCACGCAGAGGCAAGGGCGTCGGCTAACGTAAACACCAGCGAGCCGTGCAATCAGCACGCCCAATTCCACCACGTGGGATGAAAGTTCACCAGGTCACGGTCCGCACGCCGACCATCAAGCAATTGGTACACAAGCGGGCAATTATTCTCCGTAGGGGAGTAGTTAATAGTCACAAGTGGGCAGTATCATAGTGACTAGGTCCCATAATTACTGCAACTCCTTGTGGAATGAATTATTCGTTTCTGCTACTGTTTATGCTATTGTCTCTAATGCTGAATCCGCGACGGACTTCTAAAACGTCAGGCGAATAAAATTCCTGTCCAATCGATAACAACTACGACTTCTCAATTACTTCATTGAGCTCGCACGCTTACTTTTATTAGCACTTAGTAACTTTTGATATTTAGTTTAAGTTGTAAGCTGGCCTAAGGTTGTTCATGTTTAGTTCGATGTCGCCGTACATGCGCTAATGTCGGCTTAATACTGCTCATCAATCTTGCGCGAATTGCGGCATCTTGCTTGAGTTATGGCCCGAACCGTATGCTACAGATCATTCTAAATTAACCTCCTGTCTGACAACCCTTTAGTGCGACCGTCCGTAAATAGAAGTTAACCTGTCTTTTTCTGTTCGGAATCAGAAAGTCCTCCTTTTAGTTCCGTGAAGGCCATCTTTTGCAGCCCAGCTTATTCCT